TTTCATCAATAGCCTTAATTCTCCTCTGCTATATTGTTCCTGGCATTAGAATGACACTGTCTTTCTAGGCCATTATTCTGCACACCACACTTGCTCACATCCCAGGTACATCGGTTATGTAATCCACAGGGAAACATTTTTTTTTTTCACTGTAAAATTTTACACAAATCAAATAACATTTTCTGTTCTATGGTAGACATAATATTAAACTGGAGTCAAGAGATTTAAATTCTTACCCTGATTTTGGTAGTATGTTGCTGGGCGATCTTTGGCAACCCACTGAACTCCTCTGGGATTCAGAGTCCCTAATTCTGAAGTTTAAGAATTAAGAGAGACAAGCCAAGATGATCTTTGTTCTTAATTTAAAGTTGATAAACAGAATAGTGGAACTCAAGATATGCATATATGAGGTAACAATTATTTGTGGGAATGAAGCCTCAGCCCATTAGCACACAATAGAACTGAGCAATACACTAAGATTTTCATAGTTGCATTTCTTAGTTGCATTGGTTTGTTTAATTCTCGAGGTCCTTGTTATGAATGGCAGATCAGAGATTATCCCTACTTAACTTATGAGCAACTTTGGTTTAGATAGCTTAAGTGATTTCATGAAGGTCATCTAACCAGTTAATAGTGGAGTTAAGACCACAATCCAGATCTTTGACAAGTTCTGTGCATACTCTGCTACCATCCCTTTTTCTCTGAGATAAAATGCATGTGAAGCTTGGCAGTAGCACACAGGATTAGAACAGCATTGTAGTATTAGTTAACTACAGTTGGTCATAAAGGTATTTTGAAATATTTTTTCTTGTGCAAATTGAAGTTTGAAGCACTTTTTTTTCTGCTTAATACTAATGGATATGTTAGACCCTGCAGATAGAGCACAACAATATTCATTTACTTAAAGAAATATCTAATATTCTCCCTGTGCTCAGCCTTGGTTCATTTCAAGTACTAAATAAAAACATACAGATTGTACATGGTGGCTCATTTCTTCCCTTCAGATAGAGAAATCTGGTCATCGTGGTGATAGCTAATACCTGGTTTTCACATTGAACTAGAGGAATTTAACATTTATCTCACATTAGAAATTATATTAGTATATGCTATCTCAATTATTTAGAAAGTCTTAATAAAGCACATAAACCACTATAAGGGCAAACTTTTTGTTTGTCTTGCAATGATCCTGGCAGATAAAAAGGATATTAAAGGTAAGGGATATGACGTGGCTCTCTAGAATTAGCAGTGGCTAGAAGCGGCTACTGACCCTGAGATCATAGGAAAGGGAGGTGGGGAGTAGTTGCTCCAAGTCAAGAGACCCGAACTGTGACAAGGCCCCTTGACAGGATCTACAGTCTTTAATGATAACCCAATAGGAAGTCATTCAGGGAAACGGGTATCCCAACTTCACTTTGCCATTTGTTGAACTCAACAGGAAATGGGAGGAAAGAGGAAATGTTTAATGCAATCTTTAGATGTCAGCTTGCTGGACACAGAATACAAAGAAGGATGCAGGTAGATGTGGAGGGTGTGTGGAGGACACCTAACACAGAGCTACATCTGCCTGCATGTTATTTTATTAGAAACTACAAGTTCATTGTCACCTTGCTGCCTTTCAGGATGCCTTTAGAAACACAATTAATCAAGTTGGCCTTTAGCAAAGCACAAAATTCACAGCAAATAAGTAATTCACACAAGAAACTCTTCTAACTCGTAGTAGAGTACTTTATCAGTTTGTTGCTGCTTTTAAGTAAAGGGTGACTGTGAAAAATAATACACAGTATTTTACGAGTGGATCACATTGTAATGGTGTTTCCTTTTACTTTATTCTTATACCTTGGTTATCACATTATTTCAAAGTTTAATCTTAATTCATCCTTGTCATTTCAACTGATTTAGTTTTTGAAAAGATATTTGGAAAGAATTTAATCTGTCTCAGAAATACTTGGTTCAAATAATCTGTTTTCACAAACTAGATGGCAATTCTAAAAACTCAAGTTTGCAAAAACAAAAAGATCAAAATAATATCCCCAAAAGTAAATTAATAAAGATTTAGCTCCAAAATCTGCTGAATTTTAGATTCATTTTGAGAATTCACATAATTAAACAAAATAAAACAAAACGAACTCACTGTGTACAGTTTTTGTGTATAATGAAATGTTAACTAATCCACTGCTTACTTATTGATATTGCATAATTTCATCCATGTTTTGATATTATTGTGAAAATTAAGTTAGTAATCGTATGGTAACATGTATGATTTTAGCCATATCACCAAAAGAAAATCTAATAATCACCATAGTTTTGATTGCCTTTTTGATTTTCAGAAAAGTTTTTGCAAAGACCTAAGTAAATGGACTCAATCCTGAGCATAATTAAATGTATAATATATATTAATATGTTCAGGTGGAAAGCAAAAAAAAAACAAAAAAAAAAAAAACGGGGAAATCTCATTTAACTGAGAGAATGATTAGCATACACATTAGATTAAATGTGTATTAAAACTGGCTTTTTAAAATGGCATTAATATTCCATAATTAACAATAATAACATGTTTTTATTCTATATTGTGATAAAAGGAAATTCATGAATTAAGGTAGCTTGTAGTTAAGAATATCAAGATATCCTGCCCTTTCTTTTTTTAAGAAATTCTTTCATGACTTCTTTCTAAAGACAAGGTCAGGAAAGACAAATTTAAGTATGTAGATGACTATGATTATGGAATGATTAAATTTGGTCTTTCTTAAAATAGATTTTGTAAACTGAGAACTGCAAGGGTTGTCTGCTTATAAAAACCAACTCAAAACCATTCACTTATTGAGCATCAAAGAGAATATTGTATGATACTTACTTTGACAATACATAGTATCTAAATTTTTTATAGTGATATTTCATTTATTCATTATTTATTCAACGAGGATGGATAATAGTAACAATTCAGTCCTTAAACTATTTGACAAATAGTTTAATTGAAGAAAATATCTTACATTAATCATATAATTCTTTAGAGTTACATAAATGAACTTTATTCACATCTTATTCATCTTGTACTTGCAGTGCCTTACACACAGCAGATGCTTAGTAACAAATATTTCTCCTCTTTATTTGATGATACAGTTTTCATCACAAATGAGAAGTACATATTTTAGCCTAAAACAATTTATTATGCAAATAAATGTTCCCTGACCATTCTGAACTGCAATCTCAGAGATTGCCACATGTTCATGACCTTTCCCCCAAAATGACACTCACCCTGATGGAAGCTCAGGGTATTCTAGGAAAATTTAAAAGTATTTTAAAATTCTATTCCTCCTTAGAATTTTATAGTAAGTTAAAAACTGAGACAATATTTATTCCATGAACTCACAAATTGTCAGGGCAATATGAAAAGCCATTTCCTTATTTATTTATATTTATCAGCTTCTCTTGATAGTCACTAGAAATGTCTCTATAAAGACATGTGCATATTTGAAGTGTGAGGTGCTAGTCAGTAGAAGAAAATGTCTTCTAAAGCTGCTAGAGGTCCAGGTACCTACTTTAGGAAAGATGTCTTCAAGGGAAACATTAAGGGGTTGATGTTTCATCAAAATTATGTTCTTAGAAATATTATTTTGAAAGATGAACAATGAAGTTGATAATTTTGAGATGAAAAAAAATCTCTGAGAAATAGAAAATTTGGGGTGTTTTGCCTTTTTAATCAACCCATCTATAACTAAATCTAATGTTCAAGTCATCTCAGAAGATTAACTGCAGGATGATTCATTTGTGCTGTCATTCTGTTTGTGGCCCACAGAGAGCAAGGCAGGAATCAAGTCACCATTCACATTTCCCAGTTGAGTCTGGGAGACCAGCTACTTTTTCCTTTTTCTCCCTCTTCTTCCTGTTTGTGCCATTCCCTTTCTGCCTTATTCTGCCTCTTCCACTTTCTCACACATCCCAATAGAAACCTCACAAGAAGAGAAACAAGAGTCTGCATAGTCCATATCAGTGTTCTACATGGTGGCACATCATATTAATGAAAGCAGATCACACATCTTTCATAATATGCTGTAACTAAGTCCTGTCCAGAGCCATCCGATGCCACTTCTAGTAGAGGCTCCAATAGGCACAGGTGGCAAATGTCAAGTTAACCCCTTTCTAACCCTGCCGTTTTTAACACTCAGAGGATCTCTCTCATTCGTCTTTAAAATAAAGTACGAAATTCCAACATCAAATCTCATGCTGTTAAATTAACAACATCACACCGCTCCATATGACTTGAATATTTCCCATAACTTTATGACTGGAAAAACACTGTTCAGATTTCATTTACCAGTTTAAAAATAGCAAACTCTAATTTGAAACACACTCTCTCCCTCTCCCTTTCTCTCTCTCTTACACACACACACACACACACACAATTGTGCACTATCAATAATATTTCCTCTCAGTACTAGGCAAGTATTTCTTAGTACAAACACAAATAAGATTCAGTATAATTACAGGTTTTTAAAGTCAAATATGTTGAAAGATGATGTTTGTTATGAAACAAATCAAAAAGAAAATATTACTTAAAGCTAAAATGACAAGCCACAGTCTGTTTTGTATAACAATGGCTATTTATCTATTTTTAATATATAAATCAAAACTAGTCGGTATTTATTTTGACTTGAAGATTATTCATAGATTATTATATCCCTGTCCAGTGCAATTTCATTTTATTGAGTGGGTGGGTGCTGGGCAAGGCAAATAATATATTTTAAACATCTTAAAGTGGTATGATAATTTAAAAAAAATGAATTGTTTTCAAACTTTGTCATTTTGTAGATCTGGAGATAAAACTAAATGATAAATTTAGAAAAGATGCCCACAGATCATTTTAAGTCTACATAAAATCCAAAATAATATCACTGTGCAGACCAAACAAGGAGGGGTTCCTCTTTGTACACAGCAAAAACACTCATAATACACAAGGCACTGAAATTAAGTTTTGATAGAAGTTATGTCACATTTAAACTCACCGCTGGATGTAAGGGTCGGGGCGGTACTGTAGGGTGGCACACCGTGAAGTTTCAAAATTCATTTCCTTCAACTCTCCTTGATATCAACCAACGGAGAGCAACTATATAAAATATACACATATACCTGTGTATATATAGATATTTAGCCAGAAGGCTAAAAGCAATAGGGTCAAATGCCATCAGACATAGAAGTTTAGACACTTCCCCCCTTCACACATATTTGCAAAGAGGCGGAGCATTTCTTCGTTTTAGCCAATGAAATCCATCGAGTGACTAAAACATCATAAACAGTTGATTCTTACCAACTGGGCATCCTCTCTAAAGTTGTTCTTCCCCTTCTATCACGGCTTTAGAGTCCTTGATGTATAGTAACCACACTTGTTGGCAACTTGGAGGCATCTCTGAACTTCTGCTCTCTCTCCTGATTGGATGTCGGCATGAATGGCATCAGAGTTTAATTTCAGCAGCCTGGACTTTTGTGATAGAACTGAGCTGAGGAGTGTCCACCTCGCTCCAGCTAAATATCTTTCCCTTGTATCTGGATTCTGACTTGATTTGAGGACTTCTGTGACTGCGTCTAGGGCTAAAATGTTTTGCAGGGCTGCTTAGGGAAGTGTTTTTTTCTTTTTAAATCTCTTCCCCTCCTCCCCCCTTCAGCCTTCCTTTCTGCCAACCGCCTGTTGTGGTCACAATCTCAAATAGCAAAGACAGGGAAATTCCTTGATTATATTTAACCTAGAACGCACTCTTCAGTCTCAACTAAGAGAGAGAGAGAGAGATATCCATTCATATCTCTTTAGAAATTTTGCCTGCCCCCAATAAAATAAAACAACTTTCACTGATCTGTTTAAATCTTCTACCTCAAACACACCAATACATGTATATATAATAATTTTCTTAAAGTGATATTAAAATGGGAAATCATATTTTATTTCAGAACATTTTTTGAAGCTTAACAGAAGTATTTCAAATTGCCTGCTAATGAAAATGTTCTAGTTTATTTCAGTGTAGTTCACTGTTTTTACCGATTCATTTTTGGTTTTGCTTTGACTTGACCTACTTTGAAATAAAACCATGAAATCATCCATGCATTTAATAATTAATATCAGGAAAAGTATACATACAGAATAATTTCCTTCCTGTTGGAATATGTGTTGTAAACTTATCTTGGTTCTGTAGATTTGGAAGTTGAATGAAATATGATTCAAAAGCTAAATTAGAATAGACTCGAACTGAAAAAAAAAAAAGTATGCCCAAGTATTACTAACATGGCAAGTTCACATCTTCCATTTGTCTTCTAATTATAGGACACCTGTAAACTAGTGACATCAGAAGATGTCCAAGTTGTGAGACAATCTAAAGTCATTTGCAAAGAAATTTGACATTTCCCTATAAGAAATTCTGGTTCAAAATGTGTTTCATAAAGATGTTTTATTTGTTGCTTCAGCCAGGATGGAAGGGAGAAGCTATTTAAAACTTGACATTCTCTTCCTTTACTTAGCCCGAGTGTGTCTAACATCTGTGAATTGTGAAATTCACAAACATGCCGGCCTGAGCCCCAGCCAAATCAAACAGCTTGTTCTACAAAATGTGAAACTTGAAAGGAAGATCATTTTACTAATTAATTAGATAGTTAATTGGAATTAAAGGGCTTGGTTTTCTTTCCTCCTATTGGCAATTACAAATGACCTGAATACAAAGTTCTTAAATTGAGGATAATCAATATCCTGTGACCAAGCCAAGTGGGTCTGTCACACAGGTCATCGGTTTTCCCATTTATAAAACAAGGGAGATGATAGCTTCAAGTGCAGAGGTCTCAAATTTTAGTGTACCTGTGAGTCACCTGGAAATCTTGTTAGTGCAGATTCTGGTTCAATAGGTCTGGGGTGGGGCCTGAGGCTCTGCATCTCTTAACACCTTCCGAGGAGTCCTATATGGCTGGCCCTTGGACCACCCTTGGGAGTAGCAGTGTCTAGTGATCTTTCCAGGTCTGAAATATATAATCCAAAGTTTCTAGGAAGTAAGAAAGGACTATTTTAAACATTCTAAATTACCATCTAAAACTGTCGACTCCCAAATAATCAATTTTCAAATATTCCTCCTGTTTTTTTTTTTTTAATTTTAAAAGACTTACAGCTTAACTCATATTAAAATATTTAAAATACATGCCATGACATCAATAGTTGTTATAAAAAATTCTAAATTTACTTGACTTAGAAGGACCAATTTTATATAAGTAATTATGAAAAGTATTGGTTAATACTATATAATAGAAATAAATGGGCAGAGTTACTTTGACTAAGGAGGAAAAAAAATAACAAACTCTTTAGATTTCAACACCATACTAATATCACACAACCATCCACAACCTGGGAAAATAAGTGACAATTAACTACTTAAATGTATGAATTATTTTCTTGGTACGCAAGTTAGATACTCTTTTGAGACTGTAAGTTTTTTTAGGCAGAGGTTGTAATAGACTGTGACATAGAAGCCTAGGAGAAGGTAATTGTCTTTTTGAACTGTCTGATGGATGTCTGTGAACATGTTTGATCTATATAAAGACAAGGAGAAAGGGCTCAGGGAAGCAGCATCATTTAGGGTCTGGAACACTAGATTCAGTGCTTCTTCCCTCTCAACTTCCAGCAGCTAAGAATGTGCACTCTGCCACACTCAGAGAGATTCATACTGCAAGCTCTTCTCGATTATAGCCATGAAATGTTTCACTACTGCTCTATTTTATGCAGTCTCTCTTCCAGGTTGTGTACTTTTCTGGTTGATCTCCTGCCTTAAATCATATTTTGTTCTCCACCAAAGATTTTTAAAACCTCAAATGCACATCCTTCAAAAACTGAAAAAATGTCCCTCATCCCTCCAGATAAAAGAAATCCCTACCTGTAATGTCTGAAATCATCATATCCACACTTGTGTTTGGTCAGGGATCCTACAACTTTCCTCGTTGATTCTAGCTATTTTTGAGTATGATTCATCTTAGTACTAGACCACAAACAACTTGAAGCCAGGCTTTCTGTCTGATTCATCTAAGGACCAGCAACATATTGCACAGTAGATGAATAACCTGATTATAGGTTTGTAAAATTCACCTAGCAATAAGTTTTACAGATGATTAAAATTAATTTCCATAAAACACTTGACTTTTTAGATTTAGCCTTATGATACACAGTTTGTATATAATAAAATTCATCTATTTGGGCTGGGGCTGTATCTCAGTGGCAGAGCACTTGCCTAGCATGTGTGAAGCAGTGGGTTTGATCCTTAGCACTACATAAAAATAAACAAATAAAATAAAGGCATTCTGTCCATCTACAACTACAAAAAAATTTAAAAAAAGAAAAATCACTGATTTAAAGTGCTCAATTTAAGGAGCTTTGATACATTATACAACATTATCTACCATCATAATCAAGATATGAAATATTTCCATTACCCCCCAGACTCCTTTGCAGTCCATCCTCCCTCATTGAGGTCCTTAGGCAAGCACTGTCTTGCCTTTTTTTGTCATTATAATTTAAGTACATATTTTCTAGTAACATGTTATCCAGTAGAACTATTTGTGAAGAAGAAAATAGTCTATATTTGATATTTGCATTGCCTGGGATGGTAACCACTAGTACACATGGTCAATGTTATTGAGGAACTAGATTTGTATTTTTATTCAATTTTAATCAATCTAAATGTAAATGTTCACATGTGGCTAGTGACCATCATTTTGGATAAACAATGCTAAACTGCACATAAATTGAGGCACACAGTATATATTCTTTGCTGTTTAGGTTTTTTTGCTTAATGATGCTTTTGCTTTTGAGATGTGTATAATTGTGTTAACTACATCAGTGACCCATTCTTTCTATAGCTGTTCAGCATGTAAATTCCTTTTTTTTTTTTTTTTAACCTACAATTAAGAACAATCTGGCAGTCTGGTCTCAGATACTTAATTATGGTCACAGAGTTCAAAGTCCAATAAGGTGTTAAGATCTCAGTGATAAGAAATCCCAGAACTTTTTCTTGATCCTACTGAGTTTCCCAGAAATGTAGTATTTCCTTCCCGGTAAGACTTCTGCCACACAACTCTAAAGAAGGAAGCATATATACTGAAAAGCAGTTGGTTAACCTGGGTTCATCTGGACTCTGGTCCTAACTTACTCGCAGAACTTAGCAGACTCTTCAAATTTTTGATTCTATCTTCAAAGAAGGAGGTATGTATCAATGCAGATTCTTTTGACATAAATAGTGGAAATAGACACTGCCTCAGTAAAATCAAAAATATTAAAACAGGAAAAAAGAAACATGAAAATTCAGACTGGAAGAGAAGAAGTTGGAAAGCTTGGTTTCACAAAGGGCTGGAACCAGGATTGTTTTAAAGATTGAATTAAGAGGAATGATTAGAGTGACTTCATGTGACCATTTACATTTAGATTGATTAAAATTGAAAAAAAATACAAATTTAGTTCTTCAATAACATTGACCACATGTAACTAGTGGTTACCATCCCAAGCAGTGCAAATCTCACTACCACTATAGGGTAAAGTCAGATTGAACAGGTTTTTTTTTTTTTTTAACTCAAATTTCTCAATGTAAAATTCAAATTCCCAGAAGGGAGATACCATATTTGTTCAAGAAAAGTCTGAACAGTCTACCAAGATGGAACAAAGAGTTTTGAAAAGGAAATAGACGGAGGTTCTGTTAACCAAAGAGAGGGCAATAGATATAGGGTGATAGAAAAGGACAGATGCCATGAGAAAGGCTGAAAGCAGTTGACCTTGCACCTTCCCTACAGCTTTGGCACTCAGTGACTGTATGATCTCTGCATGATCAGAGAAGCTGAACTCCTTTGTGTAGGGATAACTGAACCTTGGTTCTCTCCAGGGCATCCAAACCTGCACCACTTTACAATATAGGAACCACACAAGGGAGTGGAGTAAATTCTCTAGATATTGCCCAAACTGAAAGGACTGCAGAGTTCGATAATTTTTCGTTCTTAATACTTTTCTGACATAACTTCAGTTTAACCACCTAATATTTTATAAAAGTAGAAAACAAAGCTCTGCTTTAGGTGGGATCCTACTATCCTTCCAACTTAGTGATCTAATATTTGCTACAGTCTACACATAGTAGTAAAGCCAGACCTAGAAATTAAGTGTACTGGATGGTGGCCTTTTCTTTTTTAA